TAAGCCTATCATCTGGAGTGTTGGCTACTCCTGCCAGCTTGGTGGCATCTACAAATTCGATGAGTTCCCCATTTATTCCCTCATCCAAATCATTGATGAAGATGTTGAAGAGTACCCAAAACAGAGCCTTGGGGTACTCCACTGCATACTTCCCTCCATGTAGATGCAGTTCCATTGAGGACTACACATTGAGTGCAGTTGGTCAGCCAGTTACGAATCCATCTGGTAGTGATGCTGTCCATCCCCCATTCTTCTACTTTATCTAGTAGTAGGTTATGGTCTACCTTAACAAATGCCTTACTGAAGTCCAAGTTAACTATGAAACATTGTACTGTGAGCCACTCAGAATGTTAGGAAGTGAAGGAACAAAAAATCACTGAATGAACGAATGAGCTCTGTGGAATTCATATCCACAATTCATAACCATTTTCGTTGTATACATGATGTACAATGACAATAAAGGCTATACTATATCCAAAATCCTTAAGGATCAGAATGAGCTACTGATTTATTTGCCTTTGATCTCAAATAGGGTTCTCTGATAATTGCTGTATAAAGTATTTGAAAGAGGTAAAAATAAAAAAATAAATGGTGATGCCTGTGATGGAGAGAAAATTGCAAGTTCAACCAGCAACTGAGAAGAATATTTCATAGAGTTCATAAAATGGGCCCTAATCTTCAGAGTGATTCATGCTCTAATACATTTGTCAATCTTTAAGGAGATACAAGACTCGAATCAGTGTTCTATTTGACAATAGAAACTGGTTGTACAATGAACGACGACAGTACCATTATACAGTTTCAAACAAAAGGTGCTTGTGTTGGACATACCAGTTCAGTATCTAACCCACTGATAGGAGAGTTGACAAAGATTAATTGCATGCACAGATGGTAAAAGTCCAAAGTGAAAGTTGACGCCGGGACTTTCCTTCCAACAGTGATGGAAGTACACAAACCTCCACCTTGAAGAACTGGCATTTCCTTTCCATTTATTGATTGACTCGGTAATCCAGTCCCATCAAGTCACTGTTGACTCTTAGAAACCACATAGATGGATTCCATTTCTTACTTCATTTTTGAAGCTTTTTGAGATTTGCTTGGGTATTAGTAAATGTCTAGGTTAAATAGATAACTCTATATAGCAATGAAAGGAAACTTTTGCAGTGTTCTAGCTCAGCTTGGAGATAACATCTAGCCAATCTCAATCAACTTTGAAAAACTAAGCCTGGTCAGACCTGATTAGTGCTTGAGTGAGAGACTGTCAGGAAATCCCTAGGCTATAAACTAGACTGGAAAATTTGGAAGAAAAAAAAAATCCACGGAAAGAGCAAATCACTTCAATATTGTTGTCACGAAAATCACAAAAATATGTTCATGAAGTCATCACAGGAGTTGAGCCGGACTCTGAAGGGACCTGTATATACACTGAACAAATTAACTAATTTAGCTTGATCAAGCTAGCTATTTTGATTTGAAGACAAAAGACATGATTCAGAGCACATGGGGTTATGAACACAGCATCCGTTTGCAGCTCTTAAAATCATTTCCCAGAATTGCTGAACAAGTCACGCAGTCTCAGGAAAAAAAGCATAGCTGTTTATCTGTTTGAAAAAAAACCCCAGATAAAATAGCAACTTGTTAAGATATTGCTTTCCTTTTGTAGACAATGCTTGGGTATTGTCTACGGGTAGTCCTCGATTTATGACCACAATGGAGCCCAGAATTGATGGCGCTAAGTGAGAAATTTTTAGTTTTGCCCCATTTTATCACTTCCCTTGCCATGTTTGTTAAACGAATCCCTGCAGTTGTTAAATTAGTAACGTGGTTGTTAAGTGAATCTGGCTTCCCCATTGACTTTGCTTGTCAGGAGGTCACAAAAGGGGACTCTGTAACCATCATAAATGTGAACCAGTTGTCAAAGCATCCAAATGTAAATCATATGACCATGGAGATGCTGCCGTGGTCGTAAATGTGAAAAATGATCATAAGTTGCTTTTTCAATGCTGTTGTAACTTCAAATGGTCACTGAACGAACTGTTGTAAGTCGAGGACTACCTGTACAGTGCTCTGAGTTTGATGAATGCATGCACCATCTCCTTGTAAGTGTAATTAGTAGTTCTTTTCCAGCTAAGGATAGTATGCAAACCACTGAGTGGTCACATCTTCTATTAATCAGTGTTCGAAATTCATAATTGTAGCTTGACAGTCCACTTAACTAGACATAGCAGCCATTCTGCCTGTTATAAAAGAGTGGCTGATCTTTATTCAGGCCACAAAGTAGAACGAGGACACAGACTTATAGCATGCATTAACCAGAATAATTTAATCTATCAAATGTGCCCCCAGGTTTTATCTAGATGCAAGCTTGTCAGTGGATATTGAGAGTCCATGACTGGAGGAGACATGGCAACAGGGTCAGCCAACGCGGGCTGTTTGGAAACTGAAAAAGTATTTGGTGTGTGAACAACAAGGAGGCAGCAAGGAGCCTGGGCGTGGCTTAGTTAAACTGTTCTGTACTAAAGCTCTGAGTCTGTTGAGCTCTAAACGAGTCAGCTGCTCTGAACTGAAACTGAAACTGTTCTCTGCCTGTGTTTGCTTGTATTTACTACCACGTAGGAAAAACCTGTTTGGGTATTGTCTATTTACTTCATGCGTTATATTGTATATAAAGAGAAGTTAATGAATCCTGCTGAATCAGTTACCTGTGTGTGCTTTCTGGGTGTGATTGCTGCTGCAAACTCTGAAGTCATATCTGCTTATGTTCTTCCTGAATACTAATGCACCGCTAATTTGGTTCCCCTTCCTTTTCCTTCTTGCTCCACCTGGACTGTTGCAGATCCTTTCGCATCCACTCCCGATGCCGTTGACGATGCCCTTCCCAACTTAAATCCTTTTCTCACAAAATCTAGCGATCACCTCTCTGTCTCCTCTGATGTACACCCTTCTTTCACTTCTAGGACACCAACCCATGAGATGTTTGTTGGTAAAGTACTGGCTGGCTAGCTGGCTTTTCTTTTTCTCCGATGGGACCGGCCAATCTGAGGTCTTTCAGTAAGAGGGGGGCAAAAAAGAGTCCATTTCTGAACATCTTTCTTAATATCTGCCAAAGATTTAATTCAGGGGTATCCAAACCTGGCAACTTTTAAGACTGGTGGACTTCAACTCCCAGAATTCCTTGGCTGAGTCTTAAAAAAAAGTTGCCAAATTTAGAGACCCCTGATTTAGTTTAACTGCAGGTAGTCCTCGACTTGTGACCACCATTGGGACCGGCATTTCTGTCGCCAAGCAATACTGTCTTTCGGCAAGGCATCACGTGCCCAGAACGACTTGATGGCTGTTTTTGCCATGTTTGTTAAGTGAATCCCATGGTTGTTAAGTGAATTGTACTGTCGTTAGCCAGATTCAGCTTCCCCAATTGACTTTGCTTAGCTGGCTGGGGAGATTGCAAATTATGCAGCAACCACCTTGACAGACACTTGAATTGCAATCACATGATGGCCTCTGGAGTGGTACCACAGTGTAACTTTGAACAATTGTTAGCAAAGACTTGCAAGTTGAGGGCTACCTGTATGATCGAGTTTTGAAGAGGAGTGAGTGATGGGCAGAGGTTACGTTACATTCCTTTCCATCTATCTGTCTGTCTTCTCTCTGATTGACTCCGTATCAATTAGTTCATTGATTTTTCCCTGTGGAAGATGTTAATCTTTGCTTCAGTCAATCATTAATATTGTGGTGCCAGACACATAAATGGTCCTACCATAGGGAGTGTCCCAGTGATCTGTACCAGTTCATACCCTGCTCGGGTATGAGTTCTCATAGATCCCCAAAACGTCTTGTGACTTTGGTCAGTAAATTAAGGAAGGCGCAGTGCTATCTGATCTCAGAAATGTAACCCCTAAATTTTTTGTGCCCAAACCTGTGACTTTCAGTTTAACTGTTCTGGTTGTCTAGAATGACTTCAATCTGGTTTTTTAATCTGACCCCCCTGGAAACACCCATTATAATCATCCACTACAGGTAGCCCTCGACTTATGACCACAATTGAGCCCCAAATTTTTGTTGTTAAGTCAGACATTTGTTAAGTGAGTTTTGCTACAGTTGTCAAGTGAATAATTGCAGTTGGTAAGTTAGTAACCTGGTTGCTAAGTGAATCTGATTTCCTCATTGACTTTGCTTGTCAGAAGGTTGCAAACATGACCTAGGGACACAGCCACGGTCATAAATATGAACCAGTTGCTAAAACATCTGAATTTTGATCACATGATCATGGGGATGCGTCAAAGGTCATAAATGTGAAAAACGGCCGTAAGTCACATTTTTCAGTGCCGTTGTAACTGTGAACGGTCATTAAACAAACTATTGTAAGTCGAGGATTACTTGTAATCAGCTCTCCCACTTTTCCCCATTTTTGAGATATAAAATGTAACAATGTTCTGTCTTGTCTTTGGATAGAATAAAACCTTTACTATTTAAGAAGATCCTATGTTTCTCTGTGTGTGTGTTGGATGTCTTGTAGTTACAGTCTTAACTTAAGATCTGAATGTTTGGTTAACCATACAATAGTGTGCACTGTATTTTTTATTCTTTTCTTTTTCCATAACATTCCTTCTTTGCTCTTCTGCTTCATATGCTTCTATCAGATTCTTTTTGTGGCCCACAAGCTTATCCTAATGCTTCCCATTTCTGCAATGAACCCTCATCTGTAGCTGGTCTATTTGGAGGTAGGTAAAAAAATTTAGCGCACAGGACTTTGATTCCTCATGCAGACGGAGGAATATAGCTCTATCACTTTCAGAATTCCTACATTTTTAAACCGTCAGGGAATAAATTGTGAGTTCTAGTCCTGCCTTAGGCACAAAGCCAGCTGGGTAACCTTGGACCAGTCACACACTCTCAGCACTAGGAAGGAGGCAATGGCAAATCACTTCTGAAATCTTGTCAAAAAAACCCCAAAACACAGGGACAGGTTCAGGCAGTTGGCAAGAGTCAACGCTGACTCAAAGACATTTAAAGAAAGGGGAAAAATAATTGATGTTCTTTAAGCATCAAAGGGCATTTTCATTCTCTTTTTTGAAAAGCAATAAATCATCCAAAATGTTATAAATTCTGGTTTTTCCTATTAGTTTCTGCTGTTGTTGAGTCATAGATCATAATTGTATGTCTTCTGGTGATATTCCAAAGGTGCTTTTTAAAAAAAAAACCAACTTGGACTTTCTTTGATTTGCTTGAAGACGTTTTGCTTCTCATCTAAGGAGCTTCATCAGTTCTTCTTCAGAACTAAAGAAGCTTCTTGGGGGCGAAGGGAAATGTCTTAAAGCAAAGCAAAGAAAATTCCAAGTCTTTTGAAAAAAAGCACCCTTGGGACAAGCATGACTGAGAATCTCCATAGATATTCTTCTGGTGATGGTTTTCTTAAGTAAGCCTTTATAAATTTTTATTTATTTTATAACCTTGAGATAAAAGTTCAGCAAGTATAAAAAGGCATTCTGGTTGGTGTTTTCTTAAATAGGAAAACTGACATGCAGTTGATATCAGTTTTGGTTTTATAGCAGCTTTAAAATGGAGAATGTGGGAAACAGTCTGCACTATTTAAGTAATGCTGAGGAAAAGTGTGATGGTTTTTTTTTCCAGACTGATGCCAGTTGTGTTAGAAGCTGCTTAGTACAATGTCCTTATGCCATTTGGAAGAGAGTACATATAGCAATAGCTCTTAGACTTGTATACCGCTCACAGTATTTTACAGCCCTCTCTAAGCAATTTACAGAGTCAGCATATTGCCCCCAACAATTTGGGTCCTCATTTTACCCACCTCGGAAGAATGGAAGGCCGAGTCAACCTGTATATAGTTATGTTTTGAGTTGTTATCAGCAATGATAACGTATGGATCACACGGTTCTGTGGAAAAAACATTCTTTCTTTGGATTTTTGGATTGTCTGCCGACCTAAACCTCTTAAAAACGTAACAGGGATTGAAATGAGCAGCTCATGCTAGTAAACCTCAGTTAAGGATGTGAAATAATTTGCCATGTACCGTAGGAATGGACCAGAATTCTTTACACAATCAGAAATTAATCCTCAATTACAGAAAGCATTGGATGCAATTATTGTAGCTAGAGGTGGTGAATTACTAGAGTTTCTGGATCTAAAAGGGTGACGACTTCCTATTACTCAACAGGGGTGTTACATGTTCTGTTGGATTCTTCTTATGTATTAGCAACACCAGGATTAGTAAATTTAACATTCCATACAAAGGTGTAGAAAAATTAGGAAAATTCAAAGCGGAGCAAATGTAATTTGTTTTTTTCATAGAAGTGTATCAGGAACGTTGCAAGCAAAACGCCGAGGCGGGTGGATTCCTCAAAGAATAGCTTTATTGGATATATCATATTGGCACAGATTTGGTGAAAACCGACTCTGAAGGTTCCCGTGGTTTTCACCTACCGTATTTTTCAGAGTATAAGACGCACCAAGATTTTGAAGAGGCAAAAAGTTTTTGCACTCTACAGACCTCCCAAAAATGGCCCATTTTTTGTGAAAACAGCCCCCCCCAAAGGGCATGAATAGCCTTTAGGAGGTATGTAGGATGCTCCTGGGAGGTGCCCCCCAAAAAACAAGCAAAAAAAGAGGACATGAATAGCCTTTAGGAGGTATGTAGGATGCTCCTGGGAGGTGCCCCCCAAAAAACAAGCAAAAAAAGAGGACATGAATAGCCTTTAGGAGGTATGTAGGATGCTCCTGGGAGGTGCCCCCCAAAACGAGCAAAAAACAACCCGTTTTTTGCCAAAATGGGCCCGCTTTTTTTTTTAATTTAAAAAATGGCATGCATAGCCTTTAGGGGGCTTATAGAGTGCTGCTGGGGGGGGGCAACATTACTGCCCTCCCCAGGAGCATTGTGAAAGCCTCCTAATGGCTATGCACGAACATTTTGGTGAAGGGGGCGGGGTTTCTGGAGGGGGAGGGAATGCTGTATTCAGTGTATAAGAGACACCCAGATTTTCATCCTCTTTTTTGAGGGAAAAAGGTACGTCTTATACTCCGAAAAATAAGGTAATTAAAAGTAAAAGTTTTCCCTCAACCCCAAACAGTGACATGGTCCAATCAAGACACTATCTGGTTGCCTGGTGACCTCACTCTTCTTTCCTCTGGCCAGGTGTGAGGATGTCCTTGGTTCCCAAGAGAAAGTATTTTGTTTTGGCTACAAAACCCCAGCTATCTCTAATCCCCCCTCCCTATCTCTCAGCTCCAGTGTGGCAGCACTGAAGCTCCAAGATGGCTTCGGCCAGGCCAGCTTCAGGGTTGACAAAAGTTAAGAGCCACTTTAATCAGCTCAACAATTCATCTTGTCCTCCTGGATTTGCTGGAAACGCCCTTCATTATTTTGTTTATAGAATCTTACTCAACATCCTTTTACAGTTACTACCGTTTCTGATTAACAGCAAGCAAATTTTATCTTGGTAAGTGAATAACTGGGAATATCAATCATTCATTATTGTGGCCATAAACCAGCATAATAGGATGATTTACAGTCATAATAAAAGAAGCATAAAATGTATGCCAGACATAAAAAGTGAAAAATCTGAATAGTTATACATGCACATATACACACGCAGAGGGTATAAAAGCAATAAGGTAAGACTCCAAAAAGGTATGGGAGCCTTAGATAGATATAGGAGAGACAAAGGAGTTACAATGAGGAAATCTATAAAACACCCCCAACATAAAACACAAAACACCCCCAACATAATAAATTTGGTGCCTATTGGTTTAAATTTATAATGTAGGCTGCTACAAAGAAGAGGGGTCAACCTATTCTCCAAAGCACCTGAAGGCAGGACAAGAAGCAATGAATGGAAACTAATCAAGGAGAGAAGCAGCCTGGAACTGAGGAGAAAATTCCTGACAGGGAGAACAATTAATCAGTGGAACCACTTGCCTTCGGAGACTGTGGGTGTGCCTTCACCCACAGGTTTTAAGGAGGGGTTGGACCACCATTTGTCTGAAATGGTATAGGGTCCCCCGTTTGTGGAAGGGGTTGGACTAGAAGACCTCTTAAGGTTCCAATTTTGTTATCTTGATCCCTAACATATGCCAGAAGTCTGAATTTTGATCAGTGCTGTACAATTTATCTCCAATTGCAATGTGGTGTAAGAAGCCCAGTTAGGAACTTGAAGCTCTTCTATGATTGGGAGTAGAAAAAAAAATTTTTTCAACAGAGGCAAACCTTTAGATGGAATTGAAAATGATTGGTTAATTAGTTAAGTTAAGGAAATACTTGGAAGAAAGATTCTGATTTCCCCCCCCCCCCCTGTTTTCTGTGTTCGCTTTTCTGCCTATCTGGTCTTCCTAAAAATAGCAAGCGGTCATATTTTGAGTTCAGGAGCTTGTAATAAAATTCTGAAATCAGAATCTGTTTTTTTCTGAAGTTCTGTTTCCTGAATTTATTGCTATGTTTTCATTTAATGATTTCAGATTTTGGATCAAATACATTTGCCTTTTTTGACATTTTGGCACTCTATGGCACACTATTATGACTATCAATAACTATCCGTCTATCTATCTATTTTCTAACCCCAAAAAAGGGTCACCACCTCAAACTTCTTTTTCAAATAAAATGATTATGTGTAAAGTTTTAGTTCTTGTATGCCACTTCCAGGTCTACAAAAACAATAATACTTTTGAGGGGCTTGTATTCAGCTAACCAGTTATACCTACAATACAAGCTGTCTGTTTCCAAGCTGGAATTGTATTTTCTTTTCTGCTTTCGGTCCCTTGCTTTGCTATTTCCAATAACACATTTATTGTTGTCACTATTGCAAAATTTGCCTGGCAAAATTTCTTTACATTCAAGCTTTACCAAAACTGTACTTGCAACAAAAGGAAACAAGTTTCAATTTACATGGCATTGTATATACAGACAGTCCTCGACTTACAACAGTTCATTTAGTGACTGTTCAACGTTACAACAGCACTGAAAAATGTGACAGGGCTGTTTTTTTTTCTCACGACCATTGCAGCATTCCCAAGGTCACATTTTCAAAGTACAGACGCTTGTCAACTGTCTCGTATTTATGACGGTTGCAGTATCCTGGAGCCATGCGATCCTCTTTTGTGACCTTCTGACAAGCAAAGTGAATGGGGAAGCCAGATTCCATTAACAACCGTGTTGCTAACTTAGCAACTGTAGTGATTCATTTAACAACTGTTGCAAAAAGGGTCATAAAATGGGACAAAATTCACTTAACCAATGTCTCACTTAGCAACAGTTAAGTTACAATTAACAATTTCTGGGCTCAATTATGGTCGTAAAGTGGAGGGCTACCTGTATTTCTCTTTTAATATTGTCAGCAAACTCATAGCACTTCTATTTCACATTACGGTCTTGATTTATCAGTTGAAATATCAGTAGATTCATCAGTAGATTCAGCATACAAAAAGTGGCATAGTTATTTCTTTAAAAATTGGTCCTTGATCCCACCCAATTTTTTGGGTGGTGGTTGTTGCAAGAGGCTTAATAAAAGACAAGTCATATGTGGATATCTGTGGAAGATGTAGCATGACTGCTTGATGGAAACGGAGTGTAAAACATGCTCGGCTTCAATGGCTGATAAATATTTGTGGGACATTAATTTAAAAACCCAAGGTTGAGGTAGATATAATGTAGATTCTAAATGTCATTTAAATGTTCGTGATTCAAATATAGGGATCTTTATGGATCGGCCAGCGGTAGAGTAGAAATAAGTCAGGAATCCTATTCAGAGGAATTCTTGAAAACTGTTTTACAATCGTGACCCGTCAAAACCACGGAGGACAAAATCGCGTATTTGACGTCATCACAGCGCGACGAAAAAAATTAAAAATTGAAATAAAATTAAAATTAAAGCAAGCCGATTCACATAAAGGTAAGGGTTAGGGTTAGGTTAAGGGTTAGGGTTAGGTTTAGAGCGTTAGGGTTACGTTTAGCGTTAGGTTAAGGGTTAGCATTAGCTTTAGGGTTACGTTTAGGGTTAGGTTAAGGGTTAGGTTTAGGGTTAGGTTTAGGGTTAGGTTTGGGGGGGTTAGGGTAAGGTTTTCGCTTTATTTTTACATTTTTCGATCACAGCGCGATGTTTTCGTCGCGCTGTGATGACGTAAAATGCGCGCTTTCGTCGAGCGCGATTTTGTCCTCCGTGGTTTTGTGGTGGAACCTTTTACAATAACACCAGCTCAGTAGTAATGCTAAAATTATTTAAATCACGGGTCTCCAACCTTGGCAACTTTGAGACTTGTGGACTTCAACTCCCAGAAGTCCCACAAGTCTTAAAGTTGCCAAGGTTGGAGACCCCTGCCCTAAAGAACATAAAGTACATAAAAGTATATTTTAGTATGACAGACAGATAGACAGGCATGGAAAGGAGGATAGGAGGGAGATTACCTCAGGTCATCTGGTTTCGGGAATACGTGTCAAACAATAAACAAACGTATTCCTTCTGTGCTTCTCTAGATACGAAAAATGAACCTTGCAGTATTTTCATATTATTTTTGCTGCAAGCAGAAGTTGAATGGCCATCTGTTAAGGATACTTTAATTTGCATTTCTGAAATGGGCAAAGTGTTGACTCAGTGACCTCTAGGGCTGCTTCCTGTTCTATGATTTTTCTGAATCATGGAACTGCCCTCCAGTTCCTGATTTCTCATCCAGCATCTGAATGTCTCAACCATCACAATAATTTATGGCAATATTTCTCGTCTGCAAATTGAGGCAAATTGAGAATATGTGTGTATACACACACAGACAATCTATCCCATTTTTTTTTGGGCAGGGTTTACACCATCTTCTGTTGCTCCATCGCAGCCATCAGCAGGCCTTAACGTCGACTTTGAGTCTGTGTTTGGAAACAAAACTTCAAATGCATCAGTGGATTCTGGTGGTAAGTCTTTTAAGTAGCCCTTATTTAACCCTGTTGTGATAAAGGAGAATATTTTTAGATCGGGGTTGAAATTAGGGGTTTTGGTGCTTTCTGAGCGGGGTTGTTTTCTTGCAGACGTTTCATTACCCACCTAGGTAACATCATCAGTGCAGTGGTGTGCATTAGCATTGATCATGTTACCTAGTTTGGGTAATGAAACGTCTGCAAGAAAACAACCCACCTCAGAGAGGACCAAGGGCCCCTTAATTCAGAGAGTAAAGAAAAATGGCGCACAGCTGTATGAAGATCTCGCTTGAGTTTTCCGAACAGGAGTCTTTTAAATGCCGTGTTTCCCAAGGATGAGCAGATTGAATTTTCTCACCCTCGGTGAAGCAATTTTTTGTTGTTGTTCACCAAGGCTAATTCTGGAAGAGCTTGTAAGGTATAATCAACTTTTTCGGCTGCAAGATTCCTTTTACTCTTGTTTCAGGTTTGATCCCAGACTTTCTGGAATTGTCAAGTTTATTTTACAGAAAAAAGATGGCAGTATTCTAGTTACCTTTCTTTTTGTCCTTTGAAGGATAGCAGCAGAATTCCTGAAGTGTTTTTTAGCTGTACAGATAGTCCTCAACTTCATTTAGTGACTATTTGAAGTTACAACAGCACTCAAAAAAGTGACTTTATGACCATTTTTCACACTTAATGACCATTGCGGCATCCCCATGGTCATATGAGCAAAATTCAGATGCCTGTCAAATGCCTCATACTTGCAACAGTCACAGTGTCCTGGAATTATGTGATTACCTTTTGCAGCTTTCTGAAAAGCAAAGGGAGCGGGGGAGCCCAATTCACTTAACAACCCTGTGACCAACTTCAGTGAATCACTTAATAAATGTGGCAAAAAGGGTTGTAAAATGGACAAAATTCACTTAACAAATGTCTCAGCAACAGAAATTTGGGGCTCAATTGTGGGAATAAGTCGAGAACTACCTGTATTGTGCTAAGGTTTTACAATACTTGTGTTGTTATCTGCTAAGATAATTGAAAAAGTTCTGTGACATTTAATAATGTGTCTTATTTTTAAGGCTTTGATGAATTAGGTGGACTTCTAAAACCAACAGTGGCTTTTCAGAACCAGAATCTTCCATCTTGCAAAGCGCCACCCAATAAGTTAGTATTAGATGACTTGGATTCATCTCTAGCCAACCTTGTAGGCAGTAAGTATTTGTACGGGACTTATATAAAAATCAAAATTTAAAAGGAATGAACTTTTTTTCTTAACAATTTTCTTGTTTTGTTTATAGATTTGGGCATTGGAAATGGGACAACGAAAAAGTGAGTTTTTTTAATAGGTTATTTTCCCTTCTAAATATATGTTCACAGCAGCTTTACATGACTTACCAAATTCATATTTTAATGGTATGGATAAGGATAGTGTTGCTGATTGGGCGAGTAATGTAAATAAGCCAGTTGTGACAGACCAATATTTAGCATCTTCCATCTACCCCAATAATATCCATGCTGCGGATGGCTACTTGTTCTCTGCTATCCTCCTCCTCCTCTTCCTCCTCATATACAGGCAGTCCTTGACTTAATTGAACCACAAATTTCTGTTGCTAACTGAAACAATTAAGTGAGTTTTGCCCCATTTTGTAAGCTTTCTTGCCATAGTTGTTAAGTGAATCACTGCGGCTGTTAAGTCAGTAACAAAGTTGTTAAGTGAAGCTGTCTTTGCGTGCCAAAAGGTCGCAAAAGCTGATTCATATAATCCCAGGATGCTCCCAACTGTTGCAAATATGAACCAGTGGCCAAGCGCCTGAATTTTGATCACTTGACTATGGGGAGGGTGCAGTGATGATAAGTGAAAAACGATCATAAGTCACTTTTTTCAGTGCCGTTGTAACTTCAAACCATCACTGAACAAATGGTTGTAAGTCAAGGACTCCCTGTAGAGACGAAGGATGCAAAATCTCATTCTTTGGGGTGGCTTTTCTAACATGCATACATGTGAGTTTTAATACCTTGAACATTTATTTATAGTGATGTAAACTGGACCCAGCCAGGAGAAAAGAAATTAACAGGCGGTTCCAACTGGCAGCCCAAAATCGCACCCACCACTGCTTGGAATGCTTCAACCATGGTAAGCAGTTATCATAAGGCAGGAGTCCCCAACCCCTCGGCCGCAATCCACTATCAGGCCATGGCCTATTCGAAACTCAGCCGTGCAACTGGCAGGCCGGCGCACATGCATGTCCGTGCAGCTTGACTTGCGTGAATGTTGTGTGAGTGTGTGCCAGCCTGCCCCCCATGCAGCCCAGTTCACTCCCCCCTGCCCTCCAGTTAGGCCACCAAGCGCAAAGGTTAGGGACCACTGTCATGCGCAGAGCATCAAAAACGGGATGTGATTGTCGTCCGGGTGGGTGGGCACCCGGACCGGATAGAACCGGCTGAATTGCATCACTGCATGGGGTTGTTGGAATGGCTGGTTGTAAGTACCACTGGTTCAGCACTGTCAGAAGTTCAAATGCTCACTGAAAGAGTGGCCGTTAAGCAAGGACCAGCTGTTTCTGAATATTCTTAAGGCAGTTTTTGTTCTAAGAATACAATATAGTATTTAATGAGTAGAACAAGGAAAGAGGAGTCAGAAAAAACACAAGGCATCAAGAGAATCATGAAAGAACACACAATTGTCATACTTCTGTTTTAATGTGAAGGCTAAACTAAAAAAAAAACACACCCCACCTTCCAGGCATGTTTTGCTAAAAAAAAAATGAGACTGAGGTTTGCGGAAATCTGTTTCCCTTGACCTCCCTAACTCTTGGTCAAGAAATATTTCTAAATCATTTCAGAGAAAATTAGCTGTGGAAGCAGTCGTGATATGCCCTTCCAACTTCTCTGAGTCAGGATCCAGTTCTTATAGGACTTCATACAACAAAGAAATCCTTGTGACCATTACAACATCTAGCACTACCCTAATTTTTCACACCTGAGTGAAGACTGGGGCTTCCAAATAAATTGTGCAATAACTTTAAATTTAAAAAACAGACTTTTTAAAAAAAACAACATTCCCCAATATTCTTACAAATCACATATATGGGAATGACAATTCTGAAATGGGTGTCTAGGAAGCATGGGTGTAATCAGGAGATTTTGATTTTGTGTTATACCGTATGCAAAGTTTTTGAGTTTTCGTGATCTATTGGAATCGGAAAAAGTAGTGTTTTGCTTTAATCTTCTGCTTTAACACTAAATGTTGTCTCATTTTCTCGTCAGTGTTTTGTCATAAATTACTGAAGTCCAGTATGTCAGAAATACATGAAGTGTGACAAATGTGCCTACAGTAGATTACGTTATACGTTTTGTCACAGACTTAATGAAATCTTGTTAATTTTCTTTGTCGCTCAACGTCTTACTGGTTTACAAGAATGTGTCCTCGGGGTCGTTAAGCACACTTGTAACCAAAATGCTTTTGTGTATATTCTGTTGTGTAAGCAATCATTTCTAATCCAGTGTTATTGCATTGTGTAATTGTTCTTCCGGGGGAAAAGCAGAATGGCATGCATTTTCCACAATACGTAAGTGAACAAAACTTGCAGCCTCTATTTTTTTATTTTATTTTTTTGCAATCAGATTGGCATGCTGATATTAACCACTACAGCAGAATCTCATAATCCTGCTACTCCACACTTCTGTTAAGATCTTTTGGGCATGATGGAAATTTTGAACAGCTTCTAATATGTCCAGATTTTAAGGACGCCCTTTTGAAGCCACGAATGGCATGAAGAAATATTCACAATTATTTTCCTGCTTTCACTCTTGTCGTTTGCTGCCCAATTAGCTGGCGTGTCGCGTCTGCATTGCCTTTTCAAATGCATTTGAATTTGAATAAATGAAATGAAAAAAAGGCGTCTGTGCGTACAAATAATTGCATGAAATCTCACAAGCTTCTTTCCACTCCCACTTACCATAGAGTTGATTTCAAAGAGGGAGAGACCAATACATTCTAAAATATCACTGAATGGAGTGATATTTCTCATGTTGGGTCAGTTGATTAAAAAAATGTCTGAACTGCAGTGCTATCTCATTCCACTAAAATAATAATATTTTTTTAAAAAATCCGCAAATGGCCTAATTGTTCATAATTATTGATAAGAGCTAAAGAATGAAGTCTCCAAATACTTTATATTCTTAAATACTTACAGGTAGTCCTCAACTTACGATCACAATTGCGCCAAAAATTTATGTAGCTAAGCAAGACAATTGCTAAGTGATTTTTGCCCCCATTTTGCGACCTTTCTTGCCACGGTTGTTAAGTGAATCACTGCAGTTGTTAAGTTAGTACCACGGTTGTTAAGCAAATCCGGCTTCCCCATTGACTTTGCTTGTCAGAAGGTTGTGAAAGGGGATCACATCACCCTGGGACACTGCAATCGTCATAAATATGAATCAGTTGCCAAGTGTCTGAATTTTTGATCCCATGACCAAAATGCTACAAAGGGTGAAAACCGGTCATAAGTTGCTTTGTTCAAGAATAAGGATATAAGCAATAAGGAAATAGTAAATCACTTCTTTATTATTGCCAAGAAAATTATGAGGTTGTCCATGAAATCCCCAGAGATTGAGATTTGACAGAAGGGAGAATTTATAATGTTATTTATCAAATTTTGATGACATGACCATGGTAAAAAAAATGCCTATCAGTCACTTTTTTTGATGCTGTTTGGGCACCTCACAAATGCTTGTAAGTTGAGCACTACCTATTTTTGATGTAAGTTCAACTGATAGAAGTCTTTATCTTTAGATTATCTTCTCGTTTATTCAATCTGCTAAGTGTAAGTGACGCTTATGACTGAATTTCCATGCATCAAAAATCATAGTAACTTTAATTCTTCAGCTCTTTTGGTTTTACTTTCCCTATTATTGGTCTTTCCCTATAATCTCTTCATGGAGAAGAAAACCTTAAACTACCTTAAACAGTTAAAAAATGAGCAAACCTATAGCCATGTATATGCTTATATATACCGTATTTTGCTATGTTAAGCACTGCCATTTCATCAATCATAGTAAACAATAGCCAATTGGATTCCGTCGTCCTGTGTAACAGTGTAGTCCATAGGAAAAACACTGTGGGTTTCCCTTCATTCACTTTGTTGTTGGAAAATCTTTTTCAGACAATTGAATTTCTTATAAAATTATAGGTATTACCTGCACGTCCTTTAAATTCAAAAAACTGCATAGCAGAATGACTAGTCTCTATACTACACACGTGTTTTCCTGCTTTCCATTTTAAGGAGCAATTGGCCTCTTTCTATGATTTTTGCATTAAAGCTCATTAAGGCTAATTAACCAGCAGCTTGCCTGCAGAAATCGTGGGCGCTCCATCACTCGAATTTTTAAAAAGAGACCTGACAGTCACTTGTCTGCGATGGTCTAGATTCTCCTGCTTGAGCAGGGAGCTGGACTAGAAGACCTCCAAGGTCCCTTCCAGCTCATTCCTTCTATTCTATTCTAAAGCTCTTGTTTCCAATAATTGACCAAAATTACATTATTATTATTATTATTGCTGATCAGAAGGAGGAGGAAGTGGTACATGTTAAGTTACTCTTAAGCACAATTGCTTGCAAAGAGAAATATATACAAGGCTTTGATTATTGGGAATTTTGTGGCATTTGGGATTTTGGTTTGAAAATACTTCTATTTTTGATGTATTATGAAACCTTGTTAAAATGAACCATGAAGGAGGAAGGGAATTCCCAATCTTCCTGAATGTCAGTTAAATATGAAAATTTGTTGCTGCAGTGGATGATTTCAAGAAGCAGATGATATATAGAATGTACAGATGTCACAAAATTAATATAAAATTAAGGATATCCATACCTAAGCTATGTAGGTTAAAATGCTAATTAACGTAAAGGCATATGTCTTACAAAACACCTTGTCAATATTAACTGGCAATGATGTGGAGAAAAAACTTAAGAATTTATATGTGCTAGCATATAGTTGTTGAACTTTATGCAAATACCTAGCACAATCATCTAATAATTGTCTAAAGTCCATCAAGTTTGGAGTTCATTTTCATGCAGTTTTAGGGATTCATTGAGCGATTGTTAATGTTTTGGTAAACTTCCTACCTAAAATTTAATAATTTAAGGTAGTAAGTTGGAGTTGCCAGCTCTGTGAAGATCCCCATATTAACCTGGACCAGTTCTAACCTGTAGATATCTCAGATATCTGCAACTCTGCTTTGGTGCTTAAAAAGAGCAGCAGTTCCCAAACTGCTTATTTTAATCAGTAATTAGTTATTCTAATGAATTATGTAGTTGCCAGTTGTGGTTCAGCTGATAATGGAGATCATACAAGAGTATTGTCAGTTAAATAGTTCAGTAATTGTGTTAATTCTTTTATCTTGTCCCAGTTAAGAGACTTTGGTGATCTCCCTTCAAAAATATCAGACCCAAAGTTAACAACAAAAACCAACATAAAATCAACTGTGTCTTTTATCGTTTCTTCTTTGGGGAATTGATTGATTTATCCACTCATTCATCAAATTTATACAGTTTATGTTGCTGCCTATCTTCACGAACAAACGATTTTAGGTGTATATTCTTAAGATATACAGAACAATTATTATCATTAAAAAATGTAAAAATCGATTAAAAAAAAACGGTTAACAAAGAGAACAAAGCAATGGTGTGCTTTTCCCATTAGGCACCCCCTGTCATGGCCTATCCTGCTACAACGCCAACAGGAATGATGGGATATGGAATGGTCAGTAAAGTTTGTATTTTAAGTCCTTTGTGGAGCATTGATTTGTTAATACATCCCCTTCCAATATATTTATTGTGCTTGTCTGTGTTTGTGGGAGAAGGCTGTTGTTTGACAAGATGCCACATACCCAATGGGCAAGATGAATCTGTTTCAATTCTAGTTTTTTTGTTTCCTGGTTTGTGATCTCAGTTTGCTAGGAAAATCTCTCATGGTAAACTACTCTGAGCACATTATGGGGGGGGGGGGAGTGGGAGACAAACCCCGAAGAATAATACACTCTTTTGCTTCCAGTCTTCTAATAACTTCCAGATGTGCTCCAGAATTTGTACAAATGTACAGTTAAATTTAGAGTTAACTTAAAACAGATGTTTGATATAAGAAGCATTAACAATCAGGCTCAGTTATTACAACTGAAAAGAAAGGGGTGCTTTCTGAATAAGAATACCTTAAAATGATGCAAGAATAGACGTGGTGAAAGAATTTTGTATGTATGTATTCTCTGGGCTGGAGCTTTTTGGGGGTGTGTGTGTCTTTTTGGAAAAACAAAGCAGATTCTTGTTGGCCATTCCTAAAATCAGATGTCTCTAAACTTAGCAACTTTAAAACTCGTGGACTTCAACTCCCAGAATTATCTAGCCAGCATGGGAATTCTGGGAGTTGAACTTCACGAGTCTTAAAGTAGCCAGGTTTGGAGACCCCTGCCTAAAAGCACAGAGAGGTTATATAGAGAAAGTCCCTCCAGCAAAAATGACAGCAAAGTGTCTCCAGTGAGTTCTTTGTGGTAGCTCTGATGGCTAACCCATCCTGCTATTCCATAAATATTCTACTGTCTTGTTAACAGAAGATGATGGTTGAAAGCATACTCTTAATGGTGTGGGCATTTCACCATTTTAATTTACTTAATTTCATAACATTAATTCTGTGCTATTCTGGATTTTTAGCCATCCCAAATGGGAGGAGTACCAGTAATGACGCAGCCAACTTTAATATACAGCCAACCTGTCATGAGACCTCCAAATCCTTTCGGTCCTATATCAGGAGCACAGGTAGGTTTTAATTTCTACTCTGCAAGGAAGGCCCTCTGTTGAGAATGACGAAATCGGTTAAAATATTTGTAATCGTTAGTGGCAAGCAGACGTATCTGATTCAGAAACTAGTTTCACATCCAAGGCAGTTTTCATTCTGAGCCAGATGGAATGGCCCAAATGGGTCTCAAGAAAGCTTATTGTACACAAGAAGACTCCAAAGATCTGAGACGAGAGTTGTTCAAAAGAGGTCTTTTTAAATATATTTTTATTATTTTTACATTTAAAACAATGCAATACCGTGAAGTCGAAGTGACCACACATTCACATTATATACAGCTAGTCTCAACCATTAACAATTAGCCTACTTAATACATTGTCTATCCTTCTGTCCAATCACAATATATACATTCTGTTTCAGTCTTGTCACCTTGTCTTATACCAATCATAAAATCTGTTCCAGACTTCAAAATATTCTGATTCCCCTTTATTTTTAAGTTCAAGAGTGACCCTATCTGCTTCCGCACAGGCCAACACTTTTCGGATTATATCTAGCTCTGATGATGTATTTTCTTTTTTCCAGTATTGTGCATAAGTTATGCGCGCCGCAGTTAGTATATATATATAATTAAAGTGTATCTTTCTTAATAAAAATATATTTTTTGAAAAAAGAGGTTTTGAGGTGACAATCAAATTATTGGAGAGGTTACAGTCAGAGTGGTACAAGAAAGATAGAATAACTATTCCCAAATGAATTCATAAATTTAAAAAATAGTATTTTTCTTCTGTCAGAGAAGTTGAAGCTGAGGAGGCACCAGAAGAGTTATTAAAATGAATGAATAATACATGTTTTCAGGGGGTGCATTAGAAGGAAAGTTATAAAGAAATGTGTCTCACTATCCAGATGAAGTAGAAAGTTTGTACTTCTGAGACTTAAAGTATTACGCTGGTTTGGAGGCCTACAAGCGTGCTCTCGTTGTACCGATGCCATTGCATACTTTGGGGTTTCCTTTTTATTTATAATGAAGGAAATGTTCCATTTTTGTTCTTCCCTTACACGAGAATGTGAAAATCGTCCCCTTGGGTGCATTCTGAAATCAAGATGGCACTGAATTCTGTGGTGTCTCTATGTCCACAAACTTGCTTTCTTAAGCATTTGGAAAACACGTGGAAGGTGCCAAAACCCGAGAATTGATTTTGTAAGATAAGAGATCCCGATGTGCATTGAAAAGGCTTGTATCTATTTAGATCTTCAGAAGGAATTAGATAATGTAGAACTTTATAGCAGGGGTGTCCATCCTTGACAACCTTAAAACTTCACCTGTGGTGTGGACTTCACCTGGCTGCCTGGGGAATTCTGGGAGTTGAAGTCCACAGGTCTGAGGTGAGGTCCACACGTCTTAAAGTTGCCAAGGCTGGACACCCCCTGCTTTAAAGTATCAAACCAAAACTGTCCTTAGGCTATCCAAAAAATAAAACAAAAAAATGAGTCCAGCAGTATTTTCACAGATAGGACATATTATGGGAGACTTCAACCATGAGCTATTCCTTCCCCTCTACTCCTGAATGAGACAGCAGCAGAAGAATTTGTAACCCGAATGCTTGGGATTGATCCTGGCGGTGTACTTAAGAATGAGGAAATCAACATCCTCAGTGGAAACACTTTCTGGGTTTGCCCTGGAATTAAACCATTTGTGGTTCCTCGCTGATCTTGGCTTGGCTTTACCGATATCAGATTTATGAGAGTTTTCTTGCTGAGGGAACAAAGGCTTGTTGTGAAGGTCTATTTGCTAGCCGGGAGTCCCCTCTACTTGACCTGCCTTAGCGTTTCGAAGGAGGAGTTGTTCCTTTTGGTTCACCTGTGGGCGTTGGCGATTCCTTTGTTAGTCAAGCTGCACGAATGTGAACTCAATATATCAACCAGAGCAACGAGAGTGAATGAGCCTGGACTTTTCACCATTTTCCATGGAACTGAAAGAGGCCATTCCTGTCCCTTTCTCTTCCTTCATTAAACCTCCCCATGGTTTCCTCATTCTTTTCTCTTCCACATCCACCTGCTTCTCCCCAGCCACAAAAGCACACTTCCTATTCTGTGTGTGGTCCTGACCTACGGATAGGTTTTTTTGCATTTAAGGGTGCTTGTAAGAGGCTGTCAACGTGACCAGTTTTAGTAACTGCTACAGTCACAGCTTTACCCAGAGCACAACAGAAAATATCTTAACTATCGCTCAGCGGGCAAGAGCAGAAAAGTCAAAACTTAGACGTTTTACTCAAAGAAGCTCTTATACTACAGAAGCTCAGATACAGCACACTTATCGTATTTTTTCGGACTATAAGACGCACCTTTTTCCCTCAAAAAAGAGGCTGAAAGTCTGGGTGCGTCTTATACACTGAATAGAGCATTTTTGGCCTCCCGAAACCCTGCCCCCTTTGCAAAAATGGCCGTGCATAACCTTTAGGAGGCTTCCAGGGTGCTCCTTGGGGCTGGGGAGGGCAGAAATGAGCGGAAAATGGACCGATTTTTGCTCACCCCCCCCCCAGCCTCCAGGACCACTCTATAAGCCTCCTAAAGGCTATATGTGTCCCTTTTTTTCTTTTCTTTTTTTTTTTTTTTTTGGATTTGGACAAAAGGGCCGTTTTGGGGAGGTCTGCAGAGTGCAAACCCTTTTTTTTAAAATTTGCCTCTTCAAAATCTTGGTGCGTCTTATATTCTGAAAAATATGGTAG